CAAAGAACCTAAGAAGTCCATATTTTTAATCTAAAGATATACAATTTCTCCCCATAACCCAACTAAAAAGAGAACAAATGATAGAAAACTTCAACGCCCCAATTGAAGATTCCTCCCCATCAAAAAATCTTCTATTCGCTCTTTCCAAAGGCTCCACCAAGGGATGAAATAATATGGTAACAAGGGATTAACAATAAGGGAAGACATAACAACTAGATATAATTGGATACATAGCTTGAAAAGAGAATTGTTAGAGAATAATGGCTTACTCCATTCCACTAGTATCAAGGCAATGCAGAAATGTTTAAATCGATACAATTATTTATTTATTTTTTAATTGAATTCCTACGACTTAGAGTGGGTGAATAGGTTTACTTGCTTATTTTAGTGATTGATTTAAATTTCATTGCCAATTAACATTTGCGATAGTAAGTTGATTTCCTTTAGATAAGTGTTGCCTCTTTTCCACCCCACCTACCCCTCAAATTGCTTAATGACAGACGGTTGTGGCTCTATAAGAAGCACACAGCATACTATAAAGCTGCCAAACTGTCCACACCCTCCACCTTCTCCATTAGATCAACTCACCTTTGAACAGGTTAATCTTAGGACTAAAATTACTTGATTGAATAAAAGTTTGCATTGAAAGTACTTTAGTAGATCTTCCTCTTCCTTGTGAAACACAATCATACAACTGGCGAATAGAAGGTCAAAGATTACCAAAGGATAGCTCCAATAACCCCAATTTGGAGTTGATTTTGCATATGTTGCTGCTTTCAAATTTCTGATTCTAATTTACTTGGACTCCTGGTTTATATTCATACTGTCCTGTTAAATTTTTTTGCCCCTCTTGGAGGGTTTTTAGATATACAGTATTGCAACGCATAATCACGTCTTTCTCAGACAAATAAGTGACAGCTTTGGATTGATTTTAACAAGCCTGTTTAGTTTTTCGTTCATGCTTGCATTTCATTCAATGTGTGATTTCTTTGTTCTCAAGTAAATCTTTCCTCAACCATCAAATTTTTTTTTTTCTTTCTAATTTGTTGAGAAGTATATTGCAAGAATAAGGAAGACTAGTGGTTGTTTTTTTTGTTATAGGTATTTATTGAAGTGGCAGTTTTCTTAAGTACATGGTTTGATTTTGTTCTTAGATGTTCCATAGTTCTGTTTTGAAGTATTTGTGATTGTTCCTCAGGTTCAAAACAACTTGTGCACACCAAAAAATGGAGAAATTTTGGTTGCTTCCACACAAGATTTTCTGACGTCTTCCTTTCTCATAACAAGGAAGGATACATTCTATGATCGTGCTGCTTTTTCACTAATGTGTTCTTATATGGGGGATGCAATGGATCCTATCAATTTACCAACACCAACACTAATTAAGGTGAGACATAGGAGTTTGCATATTGTAATGCCAGCTTGGTCCCCTATAGTGGCTTTATTAGATGATATATTTTACTTTCTTGTACTTTTTTATTTTTTTTATAAATATCTTTTCTCCATAAATAATTTAATAATCAATTGGTTTCTCATTTCTGTCGAAGTCAACTCTCAAGTAGTTAATAGTCACATAATTTATGTAGCAACTGAACAGTAAAATTTTAAAGTTCTCCATGAAACTCGATATATGGTAAATGAATTCTAGCTATTTTCAAATAGATCAGGATTGGCGGATTAACCAAAATTTATGTTCTTACTGTTAATAGATCTTCATGCATAAAAAAACCAGACAAAAATCTTCTATCAGAAATATTTCCAGCATTGTCATAGATAATATATAGCCTACGTCTCCCAACTGTTTGATAAGAGAAAAAATGAAAAAATTAATCTTCTTTGGAGCTTTGACTAAATTATTTGTTACTACAAATGACTCGAACCAAGAACACAATCAAGAATCATGATAGAAAAGTAAATACGCCACACAAAGAATGCAAAATTTACGCGGTTCGGCAAAGCCTATGTCCATGGTGAAGATCTGGTTAAAGATTTCACTATGCAAAAATAAGGAGATTACAAGTTTCATTCCCCAAACCTTAGACGAGCAAAATCGTGAGCACTGAGAGGAGAGTGTGCAAAGCGGAAAAAATCTACATGGTGCGGGGGCGGGTCGTGACAGATGGTATCAGAGGGGGTCCACAAGCCGCCCCCATGCGGGTTTGGTTAGGAGGGAGGACGTTGGGTCTCAAGAGGGGATGATCGTGACCATCACCTGGGGGAGAGAAGTTGTCGAGACTTGTATATGCGGACAATATCTACATGATGCGGGGGCGGGTCGTGACAACATCACAAATCTCCACCTTTGCTCGAATTCCACCAAGCTCTATAATACCAGCTATTCCTTTCGCCGCCTCCACATGCCCCTAAGGGCCTCAACAACTGTAAACACCAATGAAGTCCAAACATTGTCTAAACTTGACATTGGGAATGACCTTAGTCATCATATTTATTGGATTATTTGCTGTCCCAATCTTCCTTTTTGTAATAGCACCTTGTGCAATCACATCTCTAATGAAGTGCACTTGACATCAAGGTGGTTGGTGGTTTTATGAAACATTTGATTTTTAGTCAGATGTATGACATGACTCTGACTATCGCAAAATACAATCAAATCATTTTGTTGCAATCTCAAATCACCATCCAAGTTGAAGCAAACAGAAAAGGACACAAGTCTTCTGATGTAGGACAAAGAACAGGCCAAATAGAAGAAAGCAAATGAGAATTGTGGGCTGGAAATTCAGAAAACAAAGCTAAGATTCAATGGTTGTTACTTGTTAGTGGAGAAGAAGAATTTAAAATAACAAAGAAAAGCCTATTGGAATCACTCCAACAGGGCCTAGGTATCAGCCTCACACCCTCAGAATTTGCGAATCACTCACAAGAAATCTCAAAAGATATTTTGTTATTCATTACTTGATTGGCTAATCAGAGTTACATAATATCCTTTTTATAATAGAGGATGACCCTTGGAGTACCCTACAATGGAGGTAATCAAAAATTGACTCTAGCTTAATAAAGTAACAAATAATTTAATTGATGCAATTTAATCTAATTGATGCAAGTTACCAAAACAATGAAATTTCACCATAATTAATGTAATTACCAAAATAATGCAATTTGACCAAACCCCCTAATCATGCAAGACTCCAAGTGGACCCCCCATCGTCTAGCATGTGCCAAATTAAGGTTTGAGACTTAGCTTGCTATGCCTTTTATATACTTTAAAAGGCTGCTGCCATTGTTCTTTACCATCTTCTTACAACAGTAAGCAAGACCAAAGATGCTCGTTGGAGCCTATATTTCTATAGGGAAATCTGGGGGAAAGCCTTAGAGAAGTATAAACTCTGATAAAATCCCAAAATTATATTGATAAAGACTTGGTTACAACTGATAAAGAGACTGTCCCTTTTATAAGACAAGAATTAATGACACTTACTTATCCTAGACTGACTTTTAAACTACCCACAAAACAATAATAGTGACTTCTACTATTCCCATAACAATTTCAGATTCCCATATCATAATTGCTTACTAAATAGACTTTGACTAGATACCTTCCAAGGCACCATTGACTGCCATAATCCTAACTAAAGTACCCTTACTGATTTGCATCACAAGCATTTTAGCCATATGGTTTCCTTCACTGCCTCTGTGGCTGCCATGTACTCCGCCTCAATTGTAAACAATGTGATTGTAGACTGCAAAGTTGCCTTCCAATTGATCCAGAATAGTCCTAAGAAGACATGATCCTACTTCAACTCCAACAAAGTAGGATTTTGGCATATCACCCCTTCAATAGAGTGATTTTTGGATCAAACAAAAAAATTGATTGAGGGGTTACAGCAAACGAGGCCGCTTTCAAGGGCGTACAACTTCCAAATCAAAGAAAAAGAAGAGTTTGATCCTGGCTTGGGGGGGCTTCTACCTAAACATACATGTGGGTATAACGGGAATAATTGTCAGCGGTTGGATAGAGAGACAGGACCCAGAGGGAGATTGTATAGTCATAGTGAGTAGGAATAGGCCGTGTGACTCGTGATCAAAATGTTATTCATTGGATTGCTTGGGACAAAAATTGGTTTTTATCTCAGACTGGTAGAACAGTATCTATTACACTCCTATAAAGAGTGAATACATACCCTGTTAGAGAAGCATAATCCGAATTAACAAACCGAACAACATTTCCACACGTGTTGCTGCCTTTGTCATAATTTAAGCCAACATTTGCAGGGCCTCGCTAGTACTGCAATATCCACTTCACAACCTACCAATGGACCTTCCCAGGTCTATCCATTTATCTACTCTTTATAGTATTTGCATGTGAAATGTCTACCCTATTGCACACCATAGCATTCATGATGCTACCAACTATACTAGCACAAGGAACATGTGACGTGCTCCACCCTTTACTCGGTCTGGGGTTAGGGATGGCAATTTCCTCCAACCCGCTGGGTTTCCGCCCCGCTCCGCTCCTAATGGGGCGGATTTGGTAGCTCCATAAATGGGTTTGGGACGAATATGGTAAAAGAATTGAAAACCCGAAGCGGGTTTGGGGCAAGGGCGGATTTAGTGATGCTCCCACCCCACCTGATTATATATATAAATATATTTATATATATATATATATAAAGTATATATTTAATTTAAGTGTCCATTAATATATTTTGACTAAATATTCGCTAGAATCACTACTTACTAAAATTCTACAATTGTGCACGTGATTCAATCTTCAAAGATTCAAGATCTTAGTATTCTATCCTAAGTCCAGGAATTAATTCAACAGTTTTAACTTTACCGCAATTAAACGGAGTATGCGGGGTGGAGTTGGTATTTTGTCTACTGGAGTTGGGGCGGGGATGGTATACCAATTATAAACCCGTCTCGGAGTTGGAGCGGAGTTGGTATGACGAATTTTTTAATGAGGCGGAGTAGGGTTTAGCCAACTCCATCCCAACTCTGCCCCGTTGCCATCCCTATCTGGGGTTACAATCTTACCGAATTATTAAGCGAGTTGCCAATTGATTACTCACATGCTTTGATGCTTGTAGATCGAAGTGATCTAACACCTTTTCAATGTATTTCCTTTTTGACAAATATAATCTGCCTCCTCCTTTGTCCTCTGAATTCTCATACCCATAATCCTCTTCACCGCACCAAGATCCTTCATAGCTGACCCTTTAACATGTTGATTATTGACATGTTCATGCAAGCTATCAACATGTCATCAACATAGAGCAACATGTACACAAACGAACCATCTGAGAGCCTTCTCTGATGCACACACTTGTCGAACTCACACCTACAGTACCACTCCCTACCATAAAGGTATCAAATCGCTTTTACCACCGTATAGGAGAGTGTTTCAGCCAATACAAAGACTTCTTCGGTAGGCAAACATGGTCTTCGTTCCCTAGAATCTCAAACCCCTCCGGCTGATGCATATAAATATGCTCTTTCGACTCACCATGCGAGAACAACAGTCAAGCTGCTCAAGTTCCAAGTCATACAAAGCAACTATACCAAGTAACACCATAATTGTGCTATGCTTCACCACGAGAGAAAAAAAAAAGTCATTGAAGTCCACCCCATGATTGTGGCCTTTTTTGTTTGGATTGCAGCTTGGGGTAGGATCTTGACTTTGGACAATTTGAGGAAGAGAAGATAAGTCATTGTCAACCGGTGTTGTCTGTGTAAGAGTGATGGAAGAGTCTGTGGATCACCTTCTCTTGCATTGTCCCGTGGCTCATGATTGCTAGAGCCTTATTTTGGGTCTTTTTGGCGTCCAGTGGGTTATGCCCCGGACCTCAAGGGATTTGATTGACATTTGGAGGGGCCAAAGGGTGTGGGCTTATGTTTGCGATTTTTGGAGGGTGACCCCCCTTTGTGTTTGGTGGAGCCTTTGAAAAGAGCGGAATAGAAGATCTTTTGATGGGGAGGAAATCTCCATTGGGGCAACGAAGTTTTCTATTATTTTTTATCTTTTTAGTTGGGGTATGGGGAGAGATTGTATATCTTTAGATGAGATTGTGGACTTTTTGGGGTCTTTGGGTCCTTAGGACTTCCCCTTTCCCTTTTTTCGGTTTTTGTACAGCTCTTGGGACGCGTTCCCCTTTTGAACGCTTTCTATTACATTTTTGCTTCTCAAAAAAAAAAAAAAAAAAAAAAAGAAAAGGTCCACCCCTTCCCTGTGTGTAATCCCGTCACCACCAAAGGTGCCATGAATCTCGCATCTTATACTCCTGGGGTTCCTTCCTTCTTCTTGGAAACCTATTTAGAACCCACAATCTTCTTCCCTTACGTTTCTCAACTAGCTCCCAAGTCTGGTTCTATGAAGAGACTTAATCTCCTCACTCATGGCAACAAATCACTATGGTGCCTCATCATAAGTACGACGTTCCTGCTCATCAATACTCACTGCCACAATTAAGTTCATAAGCAACCAAATCAGCATGTGAAAACCACTTGCGAGCTGCCTTAACTTCCTTCTTCGGCCTGTTTCTAGCCACACTGTAGTGTTGCAACTGTGCATCTTCCTCAGGTCGAAACTGTACCTGCTCATTTGATCGATCGGGAACATTCTCTAACTGAACCTCTACTTGCTCTACCTTCTCCCTCTCTAATAAACTAACTATGAAATGGTCCTCTCCTTACTTTTCCCCCAATTTTATATAAATAACAATTATATACTACATAACTAAAAGAAAATATAATGAATCACAATTAATCAACTAAGCATGATTAAAATTCACTAAACACGATTAAGAGCCTCTAATCATGATTAAAGATCACCAAGCAAGATTAAAATCACTAAGCACGATTAGGAGCCACTAAGTATGATTATAAGTCAATAAGCGTGATTAAAACTCACTAAGCATGATAAAACTAGTTAAGCTCAATTAAAGATTCTAAGCACAATTAAAGGTCCTAATAAAACGTAGGATATCACATTTTCACAATGTGAAAATTAGAAGATCACAAGTTTCAGCCCTCAAATCCTAGCTCTCTCCCAGGCTGAAATAAAACTCAGGCCACAACATCACATTATTAACTTAAAGGTTGGCCATATGACGAAAGATTTTTAATCGGTGAAGAATTTCATTTGCCAAAACATGATTTAAGTGATGATGTTAATAAATTTTCTTGTGTGTGTGTTTATATTCTTATAGTTGCCAAGAAAAAGTGTTTTAATAACACATTTTCCATTCAAATAATTAGTGAGCTGATTGTTGTTAATATAAATATTATTTTTTTATAATTAAGCAATCAAATTATTAATTATCCATTATCAGACAAAATTGGTTTCTTACAAAATTATCGTTTATTAGGATTATTGTTATTCAACATTTAACAGGGGTTTAACGAAAATCACACATTTTGCAGAAGATGGTCTTAAACTTGATTGATATTTTGTGAATTGACCTAGAGGGGATGAACAGATCCTTTTTGCTTAATTGCTTGACTTTAAATTTTAGTTAATCCTTAGCCAATTTACCAAGCACACTAGCAAAGAAAAACAAAAAATGCATTAATGAAAAAAGTAAAGAGAGAATGGACCACATTTGTTTAACATGGAAACCCCAGTAGGAGAAAACCATGGAGACTATGCCGTCTTAAAGCAAACTTATGTGGTTTGCCATGAGTTCTTGGTTTTTTAACATCTTCTGTACTTGAAAAAGAACTATGAAGTCAAGTAACCTTTAAATACTAGTCTTAAATCTTTACTTTCTTGCATCTTTAAGGTTGATTCTTGTTTAATATAAATTCAATTACTATTTGCAGCCAATAGAGCTTTGGACTGGTAAACAATTGTTTAGTGTTCTATTGCGCCCACATGCGGATATGAGAGTCTATCTGAATCTCACTGTTACAGAAAAGACTTACAGTAAGTCTGGAGATCCAGAGACGATGTGTCCTAATGATGGTTTTGTTTATTTCCGTAACAGTGAGCTAGTATCTGGCCAACTTGGGAAGGCTACTTTAGGTCTGTTTCCTTTATATTCTTAAACTATCTTTGTGGAATATGTCTAGCTTTTAATCGATAATCCTGCGTTCGGGTTTCCTGTACAAAACTTCTTGTTGTGCTTTTCTTACTGCATGTTTATTCCTTCAAAGGGAAAGTTAAGGCAATGAAATATTTTTTGTTATATGTTTGGCCACTTTTTCTTATAATTTAATTTGAGACATTATATTCGATAAGCAAAATCATATAGATGAATGTATTAGGTTTTAGAGTTTAGAAAAATTTCCTTTCCAGAGTTTATGCTTTATTATTTAATCAGTATTTGGGATCCAGTGGTGGACAGATTTGAGAGAAGGTTGGCGGGTTAGAAGAAGCAGTATCTCTCCAAGGGCGGTAGGGTCACGCTGATTAAGAGCACCCTCTCTTGTCTTTCCACGTATTTTATCTCTCTTTTCCAGATTCCCTCTTCAGTTGCGGAAAGGATAGAGTGGTTGCAGCGTAATTTTCTGTGGGGGGGTGGAGGTGAAGAGTTTAAGTTTCATTTGGTGAGATGGGACCAAGTTTGCAGGCCAATTCGCAATGGTGGGTTAGGTCTCCGTAAATTGGTGCCCTTTAATAAGGCCCTCCTTGGGAAATGGTTGTGGAGGTTCGGGGTGGAGAGACATCGGCTTTGGAGGAGGGTTGTGGCATGTCGTTTTGGGGAAATGAGAGGAGGGTGGAGTTCTTTGGCAGTTAGAGATCCTCGGGGGGTGGGGGTTTGGAAATTTATTCGGAAGGGTTGGGATGATTTTTCCAAGCACATTCGGTTTCGTCTCAGAGATGGGAGGAGGATTCGCTTCTGGGAGGATGTGTGGTGTGGAGATGTGCCTCTTACCCTCGCCTTTCCTCAGCTTTACAGGATTGCTATGGATAAGCAGGCCATGGTGGTTAACTGTTATCATCTTGATAATGGGAGACTGGTTTGGGATGTTCGATTCAGGCGTTCCTTTCAGGATTGGGAGATCGAGGAGGTCATTTGTTTCTTGGAGTTGTTATATCGCCAGAGGATTGTAGAGGAGGATTCGGACTGTTGGTCTTGGATTGCAAACTCTTAGGGGCGCTTTGAGGTGAGGTCTTTCTTCAAGTGCCTCTCTTTTGTTCCTGGAGTTGGTTTCCCTTGGAAGTCTGTTTGGCGATCCAAGGCTCCTCTTAAGGTGGCTTTCTTTGTGTGGACTTTGGTCCTGGGTAGGATTTTAACCCAGGATAATCTGAGCAGGAGAAGCCAGGTGGTGGTCAACCGTTGCTCTATGTGTTTTAGTGATGAGGAGTCTGTGAATCACCTTCTTATTCATTGCCCTTTGGCTAGAGAGTGTTGGGGTTTGATGCTTGGCTTATTTGGTATTTCTTGGGTTATGCCTGGATCTGCTAGAGGGTTGATTGAGGCGTGGAGAGGTTGCCCTGTGGGGGCTCTCAGTCAAGATGCGTGGAGGGCTACGCCGCTTTGTGTGTGGTGGTGTTTATGGCTTGAAAGGAATAGGAGATTCTTTGAAGGAAAGGCTTTGTCGATTTCGGTGCTTAAGTTCTCGATTATTTCTACTCTTTTTTGTTGGGTTTCAGGAAGAGATCATTGTTCTTTGGAGGAAGTAGTTGATTTTTTAGCCTCTTTGAAGGCTTGAGGCCTTTGTGGTCTTTTGTATTTGCTTGGGTTTCGCTCCCCTTCTGAGCGTTTTTTAATAAAATTTTTACTTATCAAAAAAAAAAAAAAAAAAATATAATCAGTATTTTCAGCGAGTCTTTTTTTTTTCTTCTTTTTTTTTTTTTTTTTTTCCTTTGAACCATGATAACGAAGAACATTGTTCCTTTGATAATTGAATTCTTTTTAGGTAAAAGAAACACACACGTGAAGATGATAAAATTTTCTAAAAGTAAGATAGTTTGACACCTGATAGAATTTTTGATCCTGTACTTATATATCACAAGTGGACCCAGTTAATGTTGGACCAAGTGGAGTCCACCTGTCAATATGGAACAAGACCCTTATATTTCCCCTATTTACCAAATCTCTTCATTTGTAAATATTCTAATATTTCAAAATGAATTAGCACAATGGACAATGAATTATTTCAAGAATAATGTTTGTTCTGTAGACTGGGCCTAAGAGTGTCAGATTCTGAAATTTTTACCAAATGAAAGGTGTAGAACCGGTTTAAAGCAAGCATCTTGGATTGTGGAAACCAACATTTCTTCTTTTTTCTTTTCTTGTGTTGTCAGAAAGGCGGTATCTTAAGTATATCATTAACAGGCCCTCCTCAAGGGGGATGGAATATATTATAAACATCAGGTAGGCGGTGATATTTCGGCCATGTAACTTGCTTTCATTAAAACATCAGAGATTGTAATTATGTTGTGGCCCGAATTTGGTTCCGGGTTGCGTTGCGATCCATTTTTGATTCGACGGCCCATTGATTTTTGACCTCGTTTTTGCTTGCGGGTTGTGGACCATATTTAGTACTCTCTTGTAGCCCGATATATAAGGGCGTTTAGGGTTTGGAGTAGGACATAGAGAGACACTGAAAGTCGTAGAAAAGAGAGGGATTGAGAGATGGGGTTTGGGGGGCTGAAAGTTGTAATATCCAGATTTTTGCATAGTGAATTCTTTTGCCGGATCTTCATGTAAATCTGTGTTCTTTGTGTGTGGCGTGTTTATTTTGTTGTGTTTGGTTTGCTGCGTTTGTCGTAACAGTAATTTTTTTGTTTCTGAAGATGGTTCAAATTTCTGTGGAAGAATAAATATCATGTAGGTGGTGATATTTCAGCCATGTTACCATGTAACTTGCTTTCCTTTAAACATCAGAGATTGTAATGTATAATTTTTAAATCTGAAGATGGTTCAGATTTTCTATGGAAGAATAATTTTGTTGTAATTTTATTGTCTTTGCCTTGTATAATTGATTTTTTTAAAAATTTTTTTAGTTCGTAGAGAAGTTAAATTCTCTACTAGACTTGAGCTGCACTTCTGTTTAAAGGAACAGGAAATGCAATTTGAGCTTAGATGGTGGTGTTTGTTACATGCCTGGCATGAATAGAAGTATCCATCCTCCTTATTTGCAGGTTGATTGATAAGTTAATATGTTGTTCCCATTTTGTAATTGGAAAATTTAATATTGTGAGAAGTGCTAGGACTCATGGAGTGCACTGTGTCAAGACCACTCAATTTATTGGCATTTTTTTTTTGTTTGTCTTGAACATTATTATCCATGCGAATTCCCGGGTTTTGCCTAGCTTTTTCCCAAATTGAGGGCCTTCTCCATACAATTTAAAATGCTTGTCTGGGCAATATTTAAATATCAGATATTAGAACGAAGGTTGGAATAGGTGAGTTGAATTTTGATGTGTAGATGACATGATATGGAGTGGACACTGATTCAATAATAATAATCAGACCTAATAGAATTCATAAAGAAACTTTTTTGTCTGGAACTGTTTCCAGCTGAAGTCCTTTAATGATATTGAACAAGTTGACAGATTTTATTGCATGCTTGTACCTATGTTTCCATGAAGATGGGATTGATTCGAGCCCCCTGCCCGATGGAAATGAGATACCTACTATTTGGTGGTATTCTCATTTTCATTGATGATCCCGGACACTGGACAGGCTCAATTGGAGTTTGATGCCGATTCCAGTCCTTAATTTCTGCCATTCTAGTGCAGCCCTAGAAACTGCTTGAAAATGAGTGATGTAATTGCTGAATTGATTTATTCTTCTGGTTTTGGTGTTTGAAATGGTTGCTGAGATCTATTATGGCATTGTTGGATTTTCTGTTTTTGTTATCTTCTGAACGATATTTTTTATTTCATTAATATGGACAATTGTTTCTTACCTACTGAAAATAGAAAAAAAAAAAATGATAGGCATCTATTGAGAATGAACAATGCACAATGTGGCTGTGGAATGGTTTATTAGTTACTTTAAAACCATTTTTGTAGCCGGTTGGTCCTACAGATAGTTATTTATTCTTTGCAACTCTAGAAGTGTTGAATTTATTTTCACCTGACCTACCAAAAAAAAAATTACTTGTACGTATGTGTAATCTTGCTGCTGGACCTTAGTTTCTTGATCTTTTCCCATTCTCCTGATTAACACTGGGAGATTAGTTCTGCTTAATGGTACATGAGAAATACTGCAAAGAAAACTTTTGTTTGGACTTTTTTTTTCTTGGCTTTGAAAAAAAAAATATTAATAAAGAAACATACTTATTTTCATAACATCATTCCAGGAAATGGCAACAAGGATGGTCTTTACTCCATTCTTCTTAGAGACTACAATGCACATGCTGCTGCTACTTGTATGAATCGTTTAGCAAAATTGAGGTATTTTTCCTGAACAAGTGATTTGACTGGTGGTCAACACTTATTTGATTTGACTATTTCTTTTGTGCACTGGTAGGAACATGCTCTTTTGAACCAATATGCGTGTGTTCGCCATTAATGGACTGGTTAATAATCTTCTACCTTTTTATTTGGTTCCTTAAGTGGCATTTTACATGAAATGTTTTTTTTTTTTTTGGATTATCATTTCAATTGACAATCAACTTTGTAAGACCAACCTTGCTCTTTCTTCCTTAGTTTTATGATGTTTCAATATAGTTGTGGGCCTGGTTTTTTTAAACCCATGCCAGCTTATTTAACATTGTTCTTGATTTTATATATCTTCGTGTAATGAAAACAATCATGGTATACGATTTAGGCTAAGCGAATAATTCAGAAAACAACCGAACATTCACTCAGATCAAATGCAATTAGAAGAGCGTTATGTTTCAAATAATCACGGTAAAATAAATTGAAAACTGAATTCCAAGTTCAAATTAGATTTCAAAATAATTGTAATAAATATGTTTCAAATCAAGTCAATATGCGCAAACCCTATTTTTATTTATCATATTTCATATTAACTAACCATCATGACAGTAGGAGTCTTGGCCTTGATTTACATGTTGGCTTGAGGAATAAATAAAGCCTTTGGTAGAATTTTTATTAAAGAACACAACATGAATAAATCACTAAGATAAAATTCAAACGTGGGAAATTAAAGAAAGTCATCTTGAGGATAGATAAAATACCCTAAACTGGCAAAGTTTCATGAAATCTCAAACTTGAATTGGAAATTGTAGTTAGAAATCGACTGTCTTAGTATCAAAGGTAAGAATCAAATCAAAATCGGAAGAATATCATGGTTAGACTAGCATGAAACCATGGACTTTGAACCTGGTTTAGAATTTTGGATGAAAGAAGCCAAACCCGAGGCTAGAAGTCATTGATTAGTTAGTAACTCTAATGAATTTCAAAATTAGAAAGTCTTTTTTTCCCTTCCCTTCCTAGCTTTCTTTCAATCTTTACTTGGATTTGTAAAGCTTCCAAGACAAGATGTGTGTACAGGCTTGTTCTTGAATACTTAGATTGATTCATGTTTTTGTATACCCTGGGGTTGAATAGGTCTAGTTCAATTTTCTTATTAAAATAAAAGGGGTCTAGTTCAATTTTGCTACTAACTTAAACCCTGTTTTGATTAAACATCCACATGAAGGCACCATTGATTTGTTGGTAGTGCTTTATCGCCAGAGGATAGAGGGCACTGGGCTTGATGAGTGGATATGGACTCCCTCCTCTCGGGAGGTTTGCAGTACGCTCCTTCTACTCAATATTGGTGTGTGTTCAGGCTCCATCTTTTCCGTGGAAGGCAGTGTGGCGCACAAAGGCACCACTGAAGGTGGCTTTTTTTTGTTTGGACAACAACTTTAGGCCGGATCCTCGTGATTGACAACCTGAGGAGGAGGGTTCAGATTTTAGTGAACCGGTGCTACATGTGCAAGAGGGATGAGGAGGCGGTTGATCATCTCTTTCTTCATTGCCTGGTAGCTCGAGATTGCTGGGTTTTGTTCCTTGGATGCTTCAGGGTCCAGTGGGCTATGCCTCTTCTGGTGAGGAGTGTTCTTGAGGCTTTGAAAGATTGTCTAGTGGGAGGTCAGGCTAGAGATCCCTGGAGAGCTTTGCTTTTGTGTTTATGGTGGTCTTTGTGAAAGAAAAGTAATAGGAGATCCTTTGAGGGAGAGGAAGTTCCTATTAGTGTACTTAATTTCTCTATCCTTCACACTTATTTTTTTGGCTTCAGGGGAGAACTTGTAAATGTATTGGGTTGTTAGTGGACTTTTTGGATACTTTGAGTGTTTAAAGGGCCCTATTTGGCCCTTCTGTAGTTCTCGGGATGCGCTCCCTTTTGAGTGCTGTCTATAATACTACTTTGCTTGTCAAAAAAGAAAAAGAAAAAGAAGAAGGTATGCCGCGCATGATTTATATCTACATACGTTGTTGGGGAAAAGTAAATTAAAATAAGTATTTTGTAATATAGAAAGTTTGAATTTATCTGGACTAGTTGGTAGTTCCATTGATAATATAGTTTGTTTACAAATATAAATTTTCTTACTTATAGGGTTTGATGTAATAGGATTTTTAGATTACTTTGATTGATTTGTTATTGAGAATTTGGATTTTAAAATCAAACTTCGTGAGTCATGTTAACAATGAATCTTCCTACCTCAATTTTTGGTCAATATATGACTGAAAAATTGGGAGAGAATTTAAATGTCACTAGAAGGAACTAAAACTTCAACATAACTCGATTTATTCTCCCTTGAGTAAGGGACGAGTGGTTAGGAACTTCGGATGTACTTGGAAGCAAACAAAGCTTAGGATACAAATGACTGAGCTTGGCTCAGATTTCTCAAGCACAAATTTTCAACTTGGCCTTCGCTCTTTACCCTGATTAACAAGCTCAAATGAGCGTTCTTTTGAGCCATTCTCAGGTGAAGTTAAAGTATTTTGGTCCCTCTCTTGGCCCTGAATAATGCCTTTTCAGTATTAGCTTGAAGATTTTATATGCCAAAAATTTGAACCACAAAAACAGAGAAGCTTGAATTACTTTGTTAATGGTTCATTGTATTAGTATTTGGTCTCCAAATTTTTTTTTTTTTTTTTTTCAGAAAGGGATATGTCTGTAAGAATGTTGACCATTTTGTATTGAGACTTCAAATAAATATCATGGGAACATGTGGCTTTGAAGTTAGTTTGATATATCTTCTAATTTGGTTCTTTTAAACTTCTTTTTTTTTCCCCCTCTCATGAAGTCTTTTCTAAGGTGATCTAACTTCTTGTTTGCCCTTTTAAGTTCACCAACTTCAGTGGAATACATTTTACTTTTGTTGTTTTCAACTTAAAAATGTTATATTCAGGATGCTTACTTGTCAATGGCTGTTAGTACCCTTTGGCTGATATCTCGTATATTTTATCCTATAAAATTTGCTGAGGCTGAATAGATTAGATTAATCAAAAACAAAATCCTTTAATCACACTTCTGTAAGGCTATTTTTTCGTTTGTCTTGCTGCAGTGCTCGATGGATTGGGAATCATGGATTCTCAATCGGAATTGATGATGTCCAACCCGGAGAAAGTTTGAATGACAGTAAAAGTGCTCGAATTTTAGAAGGTTATGGTAAGTGTGATGAACTAATAAGAAACTACAACGAAGGAAGGCTTACACTTCAACCTGGCTGTGATGCTGCTCAGACACTAGAAGCTGAGATAACTGGTGTCTTAAATACTATTCGAGAAACAACTGCAAATGTATGGTTTTTTTTTTAAATAGCATTTTACCTTTAAGGTTTTTTTATTTTAATTGCTTCTTTTGTGTATAAAAGGGCATGCCTTGCTCGCGTCTTTCTTTTCTTTGGCAGTTAACACTTCTTGCATCTTAGTTAAGTATTCAAAGTTCTTATTCTTACATGTATTAGTTATTTTATTTTATTTTTTATTTTTAGGCTATTTCTTTCAAATCTTCATTTGCTAATTATCATGCTATTTTTTGTTATTAAATTGGACATTTTGAACATCAATTTGGTTTGATTTTTAATTTTCTCTGATAGGTTTGTATGAAAGAATTACATTGGAGAAATAGTCCCCTAATTATGTCACAGTGTGGTTCCAAAGGATCTCCTATAAATATTAGCCAAATGATTGCATGTGTGGGACAGCAGTCAGTTGGAGGTCGTCGTGCTCCAAATGGATTTATAGATCGAAGCCTTCCGCATTTTCATAGAAAGTCAAAGACCCCTGCTGTATGTTCAATCTTCCTAAAAATATATAGTTATCCTTTGATTTTCATAAATTCTGTTGTGCTATTCAGCTGCATGAGTAATTCTCTTAGTCACTACATTTGTTTTTTAACCTTTGTGAAAGTCAACGTTCTATGTGTGGGGATCTTGCACAACTTTGACTAAAAATGAGATTAAAGAATTGTTGGGATGTTTTAACATTATCATTTACTTGAGTTGTGTTTTGGTATGACCAAGCACATGAGATGTATATGTATGCCACTCAAATCTCCAAACATGTGCTTATGGGGTCATGTAAAATACATATAAATGAAATAATGATATTATGAGATGTTTAATTTTCATTGGCCTGTTTCAGTTTGTTATTCCTCTATTTATTGGAATGAACAAATGTATAGTTTAGTATTTGTTTTTCATTTTGTTATTTTATTTGTGTTGTGGCTAGAGTGGTTGAAACACCACCCATAACAATATAGGTTGTAGAAAAATTATGATTTTAAGTTAAAAAAATAAGTCAAGGAAGTTTGTAGAAGCATGGTGGTGAACACATGGCTCTTCTGACATTGGTACATGCACTTCTTGAAATTTGAATTTTTTATATAAATGAAATTTTCATGGAAAAAATGTGTACTTTGGGCTGCTTTGTAATAGTTCTTGTAAACAATTGCTTGACTTGGTAGATTGAGTTCAGGAAACTATGTGTATATATTATATTATATTCATCATTTCTTTGTGTTCTGCTTCTAGTAGTACTTCTTTATATTATCTTAACTTTTCACAGCTAGTACGTACATTTCTATTATAAGAAAGTGCATTGTTGCTTGTCTGACTTGTTCAACGTGTTTGATAAAATTTATTTTTTAGGAATTACAAATTAGATGAGCAAAGAACTACACATATTTTCTTAAGATAAGAAAGTATATGTTGCCTTTTTTTTAATAGAAAAAAAAAATTATTATTAGTAAATCACACTCATACACTGTTTTTTATTTTTATTTTTACTTTTATTATTATTATTTTTATTTGTCTCCATTGGGACTTGGAACTTCAACCTTCTAGCTTGGAGAGGTATCACTCAAACTAATGCTTCTTGGTAGACATTAAAGGTAGCCTGTTGGACTTGTTTTGACCATGTGTATGATATAAAGTTTTTTTCAAAGTTATTCGAGACACCATGGTAGCATGGTGCCAGTTCTTTCCCTTTTTAATTAGGACATGCTTTAGGACCTAACGAATGGTCTATGGAGTCTTGGAAGTGTGTCTGGGTGGTGACACAGTATTTTGAGATGCTTACTAAATTTACAGGCAAAAAAAGTGGCTGATAAACTCAGAGAGTATATCAAGTACCTGAATCTAAGTACAAAATTGATGCTCAATGCCACTCCATCATGGTATTAAACTTCTGAGTTGTACATTGAAACTTTAGCAGTGCAATTAAGCAATGACTAACCACGAGAAAGTTATATGAGAAAAGTAGTTTGGCTTTGCTTTTTGGATTTGTTGATGTAGTAAATAGTGTTTTGGGAATTGTCTAGACAAAGTATAATGAGTAGTAATTATATCATGGGGAAGTGAAGATGTCATAAGGATACTAAAAGTTGTTTTTAATGTTGTATGGAGGCTTAAAAGTCTTCTAGAAAAGTCTACTGTAATTAATAGTTCTGTTACAAAAGGGACAGCCCTTTTTTCCCTGCTGGAACTAGTCTTTTTGATCAAATTTAATATCCAGTATATTATAAATATTAATAAGAGAAAAGTGTAAAAAAACCCCTGAATTATTGGCAAATTGCAACTAACCCCCTTGAACTACAAAAAACCCCTGAACTATGAATTTGTTGCATTTCAGTCCATTTCGGTGATTGACTTAACCGGAAAAATAAAAAGTCTGATTTACCCCTTATTAAAACGATGTAGTTTTGGGAGTTAAGGGTAAAATGACACATCTCCATGTTCTCTATCTTTTCCCCTCTCAAAACTCAAATTGCAGAGACCGCGAGAGGAGAGGCTGATTTTGGGGAGAGCTTGTCTGTTGGCTCGGCCGTGGAAAGCTTGGTTGTTGGCTCGGCCGTGGCGCTTCGACAAACTCCAATCCCACTCTCTCCATTTCACGTGTGAACTCTTCGAGGGAAGCTAAAGACCATAGTTGTCAAAGGCATTTCGGGCGCGCGCCTCGGACGCGGGGCGCATCAAGGCCTAGCTTTGGCGCCTTACATGCACCCAGGCGAGGCTCTTTGCATAGGTGCGCGCCTATTTGCTAAAGGCAATAGGCCCAAGGCATATGTGGGGCACGCCTGTTTGAAGGGCTTTGTTTTTATGTTATTTAAAGAGTTATGACTTTCATTGTTGGTTTGACTTTTCATATAATTGGTATGCATATGTTAAGTGGTGGACCCTACCACTTATTATAAGTTGTATAAAGCAAAAAAGGGGCTCTGCTGTTTCTTCTTTATTCTTCTTCTCTGCGGCATATGTTAAGTGGTGGACCCTACCACTTATTATAAGCTATATAAGAAAAAAGAATAGGGCTCAAACATGCTGCTGCTTCTTTTCTCTTCTGCTGCATATGTTAAGTGGTGGACCCCACCACTTTTTTTCTTTGTTCTTCTACTGCGGCTTCTTTTCTCTTCTCTCTCCATCTCTTCTTCTTCTTCTGTCTTTTTCCTCCTCCTATTCTTACTTCTCTCTCTCTGTCTTGCTTCTTATTCTTTATTATTTTTTTTCCCTGCTTTGTGCTCTACTGCTTTCTACTTTAATAATTATTCCATACTAATTAGTACAATGCATGCTATTTTTTCTCTATCTTTTTTTTTTTTTTTTTTTTTTTTTTTTTTTTTTTACACTATGAAAAATGAAAATAATAGGCGATTTCAAGATTGAAAAGAATCTGTATATTGCCGTACTTTGAATGGTTTACAATGCTTTAGTTAAATAGGAAATACAAGGGGCTAAAAAAAGGAAACTACAGGCTGACTACAGGCTGTAATAGCAAATTACAGGCAGAAGCTACAGGCTGTACACTAACAGAAGCTATAGGTTGTACACTAACAGAATTTCCTAATCTTAGTCATTGACTATCTATATTTACACGCCTATCATATCCCCTAAAATCTGGTCTTATTAAAACCGAATATCTCTTTTTCAACACTCCCCCTCAAGTTGGCTTGTAGATATCTTCCATAGCTAGCTTGCTTCTTAAAACTTCAAATTGTCTCTTGTGTAGTCCTTTGGTAAGGATGTCTGCAGATTGTTCAGTAGTAGAGACATAAGGAATGCAAATCATACCATAGTCAAGCTTTTCCTTGATAAAGTGTTTGTCAACTTCCATATGTTTGGTTTTGTCGTGGAGGACTGGATTATGAGCAATTGAAATGGCAGCATTGTTGTCACAGTAGACTCTCATTGGAGGAGAAACAGTAACCTTCAAATCTTCAAGGAGTCTTTTAACCACATAGCTTCGCAAATCCCATGGGCGAGTGCTCTGAACTCGACTTCTGCATTACTCCTCACTACTACATTTTGTTTCTTGCTTCGCCACGTGACTAAGTTTCCTCCAACGAATGTGCAATATCCTGAGGTAGATCGTCTATCAACTATACTGCCTGCCCAATCAGCATATGTGTACACCTCCACTTACAAATGACCTTGTTTCTTGAACATAAGTCCTTTACCTGGTGAGCCCTTTAAGTAACTCATAATCCTGTACACTGCTTCAAAGTGTTCCTGTCCAGGAGAGTGCATAAACTAACTCACCATACTGACTGCAAATGCTATATCTGGGCGTGTGTGAGAGTAAATTAGTCTTCCCACCAATCTCTGATATCTTTCACGATCAACCATATTCTCGGGTTCGACAGCTTCTAACTTCAGGTTGACTTCAATTGGAGTGTTAGCAGCTTTACACCCGAGTAGTCCTGTCTCATTAAGCAAATCAAGTACATATTTTCGTTGATTCACGAAAATTCCTTCTCTTGACCTGGCAAATTCCATTCCAAGGAAGTATTTTAATGCTCCCAGATCTTTGACTTCAAAATCTTTAGCAAGTTTCTTCTTCAGTCTGGTCAACTTTTCAATGTCATCACCTGTCAAAATTATATCATCGACATACACAATTAAAACGGCAATTTTCCCTTCCTCACCGTGTTTGTAAAATATGGTATGGTCTACCTGACTCTGATGATACCCATGACTCTTCACAGCCTTTCCAAAGCGTTCAAACCACGCTATTGGAGACTGTTTTAAACCATACAGGGATTTTTTGAGTTTACAGACTTTGCTTTGACCGTGTTTTCCTTCGAACCCAGGTGGCAAGCTCATAAACACTTCTTCTTCCAAGTCTCCATTTAAAAAGGCATTTTTTATGTCCAACTGATGTAATGGCTAGTTAGAATTGACTTCCAACGACAATAAGACTCGGATATAATTTATTTTTGCTACAGGAGCAAACGTCTCTTGGTAATCAATGCCGTACGTTTGCGTAAAACCTTTCACCACAAGTCTTGCCTTGTACCTTTCCACACTACCATCAGCTTTACACTTAATAGTGAAAACCCATTTACAACCAACAATTTTCTTTCCTTTGGGCAAGTCAACTATCTCCCACGTTCCACTCCTTTTAAGAGCATTCATCTCCTCTAACACTGCTGATTTCCAATTCGAATCATCTAGTGCTTCTTGAATGTTTCTTGGAACAAACAAGTGAGAAATATTTGAAGTAAAGGCCCTATGTTTATGGGAAAGTTTATCATAAGACAAGTATTTGGCAATGGGATGTTGGGTATAGGTTTGGATTCCTTTTCTAACAGCTATAGGGATATCAAGGTCTACAGGAACTTGGCTAGGTGACTCTGTATGATCAGAAATAGTAGGGACAACTGCAGACAAGTTAGGATTTAGAGTACCTTGAGTGTTCAGGGAGTCATTGCTTAGGACCTTTGATTGGCCTAGCTCAGGTACAATAGTAGGCTAACTACTCTTTTAATGAGTCTTTTTCCTGTTATAAACCA